TGTACTCTTCTCCAAGTATAACTAGAATGATCAAGTCAAGGAGGATGAGATGGACAGAACATGTAGCAGGTGTGGGGGAGAACAGAATTACATATAGGATATTGGTGGGAAAGTTAGAAGGAAAGCGACCGCTAGGAAGAACTAGACGTAGGCCGGTGGATAATATTAACATGGATCTTAAAAAGATTCAGTGGGGTGATGTGGACTGGATTGATCTGGCTCAGGATAGGAACCAGTGGAGGGCTCTTGTGAACACGGTAATGAACCTTCGGCTTCCATAAAATGTTGGGAAATTCTTGATTAGATGAGCGATTGGCTGCATATCAAGAAGGGTTCAGCTCCACTGCGTTTGCTGTGATGTACTACAAAATCACAACAGACTGGTCTAGCGGTGACGCCTCGACTTGTATTTGAGGGGTAACCAAGCTGAATCTTCACCGAAATATAGGCTACTTCTACTGAGGAGTTTCATGGTTTTCCTCAGTTCCTACAGGCAAATATCAGGAAAGCATCTCGATCAGGACACGACTTCTTCCTTCCAGAGCCTTTAAAATTCATTAGTCAACAGTCCTATAATTCAACGTGGCGTTAGTCAATTAATTAGTAACAGATCAAAGTACAATAACAATGATTACAATTCTAGGGGCACAGAATTATTTTACTGTGTTGTACGAATGGTGTAGCGACCGACTAGGGGGCTGGACGACAGAGGGGTCGGGATTCCAGTCCTGGTCGGGTCTAGAGTTTTCTCCACGTCGTCCAGACCGGCTCTGGGGCCCACCCGAGCTCCTATCTAATGGGTACTTGGCGAAATTTTCTCGGGGGTAAACCGGCCAGGGCGTGAAGCTGAACACGCAACTCCAACTAGTATCGAGGTCAAGAAAACATGAATCTATACATCCTCTCGCTAGTGGGACTTCATTGCGTAGTGCTTAATTAGTAAAGCACAGGGACTTTACCTTACTTTTACCTATGATTTTACGTTCTCACGGCAATAAATATATTGGGATATATTGTCTTGTGGGATATGACGCCGTGTAGCTCGGTGGTAAGGTACAAACGTCCATAAAGATGTAGACAGAGTTTCCTTAGAAACGCTGGTACCTATCTACCAAACTACACGGTGTCACTTCCTACACTACAGTAATCTTACAATCTATTATTGTTAACAAAGATCGATTTTACAACTGTGTTTATTATTTAATGCCCAATATCTATCGAACCCTGTCTTACACCTGGCTGGAACGTGATTTCCTTCTTGTCAAACAAAGTAAAACAGAGGACCCCCTATGACGTCCATTAATTTGAACATGTGTGAAGACTACGAATCATATTTATTTAATTATTTACCAAGACGTGATTTCTGTGAACGTCAAGCTGGACCTGACAGATGACCAGAAAGGGTAAATTTTTCTCTTGAAGTCAAAATTAATTCTGTAATTAAAAATCAATAACTGTTCTCATTGACGATACAGCCAATTCATATGTATTATGCCGAGAATAAATTGAACATGCAATAATATATTTGTTACACGTTAGGCAAACATTTACAGCCTAACTGTGCACCCCATAAAATATGTGAATGTAAAATTCACTAGGCAAACATGCATGTTAGTTTCATTCACATACCCGTTTATGAGATTTGTTGAAGAGTGACAAAAATGTTAACAGAATTAATGATCTGTACCTTGTTCATTAATTGTAAATATTCCTCCACTTTGCATTCTACACCGCAAAGAAAGCTGACAGGTCTCCAGGTTCGCCTTGTTATGACAAAAAACGAGCCTAAATACCGTGTACTGTACGAAATTATGACAGAATTAAAGCAGTTTTTGTATATGTCCAAGAAAAAGAGTGTGCAATATTAATTGTAATTTCTTTTTTTTTTATTGCTAGTGGGGTGGGACTAAGTCACTAGTACTGCGGCCACTTCTGGCCTATTGTACCAGCTCCAGATGATAGGTGAGGGTGATTGTGGAGCAATTGGTGGAATGGAGATTGGCAGGGAAAACCGAAGTACTCGGAGAAAACCTGCCCCAGCGCCACTTTGTCCACCACAAATCCCACTTAACCCGGGTCGCCGCGGTGAGAAGCCAGCGACTAACCGCTTGAGCTATGGCGCGACCCATTGTCATTATCTCTTTCTTATTCATTCAGTTATTGCAGTTCTACTGCACTCCAAATTATATACTACAGCCAGAAGCATAACAGAACCAAGATACCAGACGAAACACTAGAACTGTATTTTGTGTAAAGGCCTGAATCTACCTACATGATAATTATTTAATCTTCTAATTACTAGCTAGCTATATAGTCAAATGGTACTGTGGTCGCCTGGATTATAACACCGTGTTAACTGATAGGTCGTGTAGTCTGGTATGCCACAGACTCTCTACCCAAGAAAAGCACAACCTTAATGTCCACCGGCCTGAAAAACCTAAATCTCTATAACAAGGCCTAATGTTTTCTGTCGTAGTCGTTCATATTCATACTAAAATGCTGTTCGCTCTATACACACTATTATGCCTGGGTTATAACACTCACTTGTGCTTGGGACACGTGTGACTGCAATTAGTTTCGTGGATTATTTGGCATAATTAAAAAACTTGTTGATAAAAATTTGTTAAAACTTCATAAATTTTAAGAGTTCTATCTTATAGGATATAACGCCGTGCATACTGTTGAAAGTTAACCGACTTTTCGGAGAGACATATCGCCTCTATCTTCATGGTCGAAGAATAAGATAAGCAACAAACTAGCATGAAGCAGGCATCAAACTGACGAAACGTCAGTTAACTTTGAACGAACTACACGGCGTTATATCCCAGAACATGAAGCTTTTAATCGTGAGAATCTCAAATACATGATAAATTCTTTGGCATGATAACTGCTTTAAAACGGATGTATTTAAGTTACAGCTCATGCTGAGCGCCTGGCGAATACTAAGACTATCGGAGACAAATTAAATCGAAACGCGTTGAAAGTATATACGTAAAAAAACGCATCTTAAATTTACTCGTATATATCAAATATAACGAGCACGAAATTTTATCATAATGACTACCTGACTCACTTCACGATTCATCGTTCCTTTACGTAGCCGAGAGGTACTTAGATTGTCAAGAGATTCCTTATCTTGGGACACCCGAAGGCTAATTACTGTCATCACACAACTCGATCCGGTTCGCAAACTTACAAGCTAGTCATTTAAAATACAGCTTATCATTACAGGTATCTTCCCTACAAGAGGGATATTTCAGGTATCTTCCCTACAAGAGGGATATTTCAATTCTGTACTGCCTGTGTTGATACCAGACTAGCTAAACAGACANTCGCAAACTTACAATCTAGTCATTTAAAATACAGCTTATCATTACAGGTATCTTCCCTACAAGACGGATATTTCAATTCTGTACTGCCTGTGTCGATACCAGAGTAGCTAAACAGACAAAACACCAGGGAGGTCTCCCACACGCTCTCGTTCCATGCGATTTTCTTCTAACCACCATATCATTTCAATTATTATCCCATGCGTGCTGTATGATCCGTCCATCGCAATATTCGTTTAATAAGCTTAGCAATATCAACTGAAGAATATTAACACCGAATGTTCTCCCCATACATTTTTAACGATCCCCAGGTTAGTTCTTCAATCTTAGGTCATATGTCTTCATATTTTTTGACGACCAGTTCGTGCATGTAAACCATTTATATTTCTCTGTGGCATTAATTAACCATAAAATAATGCAGTCTACTCCTCTTATACTCTCGGCCCAGAATTCCACCAATAAGGTGGAACGGATTCCCATCTTGCATCCAGATGCAATGTACACCCATGCAAGAAAAGTACACCTTTACTCAAAAAAGTATACAAATGTACATTATATTCTAAAGACACTGCAATTTCACATTGTAAAATTATGAATCTGGGGGGAACTTTGTCAGTTTTTATCAGAAAAATCCTTGTAATATTCTGGTTTTAATGATGAATACCTTAACGTACTTTTTAATATTCAAATGTGATATATTTACGTTTTAGACTTATGTTAATATATGTATGTCCACCTACTTAAATTGATTAACTTTTCTTCGAAAACAAATATATAAGGAATATATTAATTTCTATTTTTGTCCATGATAAAGTACATCAAGCATTTACATATAAAAATAAGTCATTGATACGGAATTGATTTTTTTTTTGCATTTCAATAAAATAAGGAATCATTTCAATATCATAATTTGGGCGCAGCTAATAAATGTGTCTATTTGCGGAGAAATTTGTAGCCGCATGCGAACTCTCAATAGCGTTACGCACCGGCTCGCTCTTGTAATCCAACGGATCTTTCGACGCACTTATTTCCCGTGAGAATGCTTTTTACTGAAATGAACGTATAATCCCGAGTCCCTTATGGTTGCAAATAAAATAAATTTGGGGTTTGTTCCGTTACATATATTGCGGTTTAGAGTCTATATAATGATATTTTTGGATTAAACTCTGCTGCTCTCTGTCTGAATGAACTCGTTGTCAGACCAGACCGAAAACGTCTGACATCCCGACATTAACTGTTTCGTTTAATAACTGCTGAGCATTAAATTGAAGCAATATTCAGTATCTTCAAAGACTTATTTCAAAGAGAGCGTCAAATCATTATATTTTTTAAAACTGGAAACATTATTAGCGAAATAATTGTGTTACAATTAACCTGTAAGAATCACGGTTATCTGCTCATGTCGAAGCTTGATACAGTTCAGGGAGAACAGATTTTTGCTTATGTACGTAGGTTTATGAATGGACAACTTTCTGGTTCCCAGTGCGTAGGGATATCCATACCACATCGCGGCATAAGTAAAAATAAATTTTACAATAGGAATTAATATAACACTTCTGTACGTTAATGGCGCAATAAATCTCAATCCAGCATAGGATAGTCAATTTTAAGTCACATTGTATACTTTCTTGAGCAAGTGCAGTGTGCTCTGAACCGAAATTCTGTGCTTACCAATCAGTGATGTTGAAGAGTCCAGCGCAATGTACGATTATTGTTACCTTCTGCCTTTTATTTAACCGAGTGATGTAATGGTTCAAGAGAATGTCCGTCTGCCGTTTGAGCCTGCAGCAGGAATTTTGAAAAGATAAGTAATGGTTAACTTACATCTTGGCTGGGTCCACCTGTCCGAACCCCAGCGGGACGGTGACCAATTTCCCCGCCATCTTCCTCAGCGCCATGTATGTCTCCAACTCAGCCAATCTCTGGTCCGACACTCGTTTCTGCCTATGGAGGAATATCAGCATTATGAAATATGGCTCCTTAAACAAGATGCCCTTCCGTCACCTTGGGGATAGGCCTAACGTCGAAGCAGAGATGATAATTGTCTATTCGATTATTTTAAAACCCTGTTTCAGCTGTACTGTCGTGCTACAGGAGCGTTCTCAGCTGACTTCCTTGTAAATATACTTTATCACTTACTTACATACTTACTTTCTTACTCACGGAGCTGAGCCCTTCTTGAAGAGCCGCCAATTCTGCAGCTACTCAAGAATTACCCAGCATTTTAACCCGAAGGTTCATTACCGTGTTCACAAGATCCCTCCACTGGTCCCTATCCTAATCCAGATCAATCCAATCCATACCATCCCATTTGATCTCTCTAAGATCCATTTTAATACTGTCCACCCACCTAAGCCTTGGTCTTCCCATTGGTCTCTTTCCTTTGGCTTTCCCACCAATATCCTACACGCATTCCTCGTCTCCCCCATTCGTGCTACATGACCTGCCCATCTCATCCTCCTTGACTTGATCATTCTTTTTATACTTGGAGAAGCGTACAAGTTATGAAGCTCCTCATTATGCAGTTTTCTCCAACCTCCTGTCACTTCATCCCTCGTCGGTCCAAACATTCTACTCAACACCCTGTTCTCAAACACCCTCACTCTATGTTCTGTAGTCTGCTTTTACCGGTTCTCACGGTCTCTTCGTTTGCAGATTTCTTATATTTTATCTTCTACCCTGAAGATGGAGGCGATACGTTCCTCCGAAACGTCGGTTAACACCACATATACACGGTGCCAAATCCCAGAAGACTGTTTCCTCAAGATCTAAAAGTTTCTGATGATGTTACATTAGTATAAATATTATGTTCTTGCACATTATCCATCGCCTTGTCTCTATCTAAAAACTGTCCTGTTTATTTTTCAAAACACGACGTTTCGGAGACTGGCTTCTTCTGTAGGTTTTACCTGAAGACGGAGACAGAATCCAGTCTCCGAAACGTCGTGTTTTGAAAAATAAACAGAACGGTTTCTAGATACAGACAAGACGATGGATAATGTCCAAAAACATAATATTTGTAATACAGAACTGATTTAGTATTCGATAGCCGACAGTGTTATCTGAGTGTGGCATGACAGAAATGTTACACATAATTTCACAATATGAGGCAAGAAAGAGTTATATAACACCACAACTCCGTAGTAAGCACAGGCAGGCTTTACTACAAGTAAGGCCATGCAAAATTTGTATGTCATTCTTTACACAAGAATGTTTGTGAGCATATATGACCCTTGCGTTCTTTCTAATACTTTATAAGGCCACATTAGCGAGATCTACACAGTAACAATTATAGAACTTGGTTACCATTCGTTGGGCTATTTAAGCTAATAAATATGTAATAAATATCTGTCAGATTACCTCAAAATTTCGCACCATCGCAGTGTTTGAAATTGTTAACATACGAAACTTTTCCGTATCTAATTTGTAGTCATTCTTACGTTACCTCTCCGTACAAAATTTCACGTCCCTAACTTCGGCATTTCATTAAAATTCGCAATGAAACAGAAAGCTGAATACAGATTTTACTAGGAACCGAGATTAACGGCTGTGGGAATCCGTTGCGCTGACCAAGCGACACCCTGTATCCGCAGAAGTTGGCACTAGCTTCGCCGACAAGCGGCGGTCGCTCGGTCGGTATAGTTCGCTTGCGGACTACAGGCCACGGAGTTTTGTTTTTGTTTTTGTTTTTGTCGTGTTGTTCTTTTATATTCAAAACAACATGTTAACAGAAGTCTGGAAGATCTGTTACCAAACAAAATTTGAGGACCCCACACTGAATATTTTTCTCGTCTCTCAGTTTCGCACAGCTGTCGGTCGTTTTTACGTAATATCAGCTTTAGGGAAACAGAAATTACAAAGATGGAATCGAAACCAAGCTTCATTAAAATGTATCGACTGGTTCAATTTTTGGGGGGNGGGGGGGACTGACGCACTAGCATGAGTCATTTATTTCCTGTGGATGAAATTTCGAGTTTTATAACGAGACGAGCTTGAGTAATAAGAATCAGATAATTCGAAGAAAAAGATAAGGACGTCATATTCTAGCAAGGAGAAGCTAAACCCTACGTCAATAACATGCAAAGCCAAACAACACAATAACACAATAAAGTAAATGTAACTCCAAAATTTTGCACGTCACGTCATAAATATTGCATAAGAGTTCTGTATCATTTGTTTATTCTCTGGAAGTGTGTATCTTCACGGGTTATCTGGTGTCAAGTGACATGGTGATTTATGCGTGATGAATGTGAAGGGATATGGAAGGACGAGGTCGTTCCCTGAGGTAGAACTGTGTCAGCATTTGTCTGGATGGACTGAAGACAGCTTCTGGAAACCTCAGCCAGGTTTAAGAATTCATAACCTTCCTCTATGATCAATATACCTGTTGCAGGAGTATCGCTGATGATATGCTGATATCAATTTACGTATAAATTAAGGATCTACAAAGAAATGCTAATGATTTATGAAAACTATTATTATTACCCTCATATAATGAAATATGTACAAATTTACTGAACATGAATTACAACTACAGTTATTAGAAATGAGCGTGATTATATTTTACCAATTAATAATTTAACAAATATATTATAATTATAATACCGGTAATGTATCACGTTGTACTTGAATGCCGATATAATTTATATGCATGTATATACTTTAGAGTATCGTTATAGGTCTGTCGAAAGGAAGACATTGTCATCGTGAGCATCTATAATCAGGAGAGTCAGACTCCGGTGGGATTGGAACTCAGGACAACAAGAATATGAAGAGAGAATATTAACTACTACATCACGATATTTCGCGTGTTTTGCACACGTACGTATGCACTAAAAGTGCGAATAAGAAATTTCGTCATTATTATTTGTATTTAATTTAATAGTCAAGCTGTTTTGTAGCTAAGGATTGTGCTATAATGGCATATTAAGGACGTGCAGGTAAAGTTCATTGCATTCCTAAGTCGAAGAAAATGCAAGAGATCAATTGCACTTCGAGGTCTTTAGTCAGGGAATAAGAAATATCAGTGAATGGAATAGGAATAGGAATAGGTGGAATAGGAGCTTGTGGGCTTGGTAATGTGGATAGAAGGTTCAATACACCTACGAGACAAATACAAACCACTCCGTCCAATGCGACATATAAGTTTTTACTACGTTAAAACTTATCTCCCTTACATGTTTCGGTCCTTACAGGCCATCTTCAGAGGGAGATAAGTTTTAACGTAGTAAAAACTTATATTTCACATTGGACGGAGTGGTTTGTATTTATAATTGTTAGTGCGACGGACCAGAATGAAAGAAATCAAATTCACCTACGAGAAATCAAACGATAGACTTCTAATTCGTGATCTGTCACTGTACTGACGAGGTAACATGTATTTGTTGATTTAATGACACCGAATCAGTTAGAATGTTTATGGAGAAGGGAATAATATGAGAGTATGATAGTTTTTGATGAGTTACACAGGCTGGCAAGCACATGATTGGGGGCCTATTACAAAATTAGCATTCTGCAAAACCCAAGAAACAAAGAATGAAATCACGATATTCAGGACTCCGCCCAGGATTTCAAAATGGCACATCCCTAATATGAAGAAAGAGTTGTGGCCAGTACACCGTACCGTGTATTGGTAAAACATCTGTGCATGTCCTATATGTCAGTCGCATATGCATAGCATTGGATTAGATGTTTTCTCTAATTCGGTCCGACAGAACATTTTATAAGCTGAATTTCCTTTACAACTTTCAAGAAATAATTTTAGAGCGGAAGCGCAGAATTTCATGTTTTGGAACATGCAGATGTTATTCAGTTTCCCGCGCGATACTCCTGCCACATTTAACCTTTCATGACAATTACAAATTTTAATGAAAGTAACAAGAAACTGGCCTAAACTAGTATTCTATTTTATCTTTGCTACTTAATGAAGCGGGATCGACAAACGAGTTTTAGACACAGTGTTATCATTGTTTTGACCTGAGTGTACCAATATAAAGTTAACCGTTAACAGACACAATATTTATGACTAACTGAAAATAAACGTCTCATTCTGATAAGGATAATTTGTTGTCGGATGTCGTTTGTGGTTATAAAGTTCCTTTTCCGAAAAGAAGCGGAAATCCTGTACGGCAGATTGGAAAGACATTTGTCGATTTTAAGAATCTAATTAAGAGACTAAGATATAAACTTTGTACGCAATTTTTGGAGAGATGCGATATTCTCTTGAACTTTGTTATGCTATCTTCAGAGTGGGAACAATACGTCTTTGTAAGATGATAGACAAATTCGTAACTATGTTGCTTATGTTATTAAATAAATTGAGCGTTTTAAGAATTGAGGCGGAGATGCGATGTAATAGACACATGTCAGATGTATGGTTCAATGAATTATAATGAAAAACAGAGCAAGAAATACTGTGTCGAAATTTCTGCAAACGAACCATTACTGAGTCTGAAATTTGTTGAGCAATTCATTATTAGATCATCAAAGGAGATCTGAAACTCCCGGAATCACTGAAATGTCAGGAACCGTTCATGCATTGAACCAGGTTTATCTGATACTATGAAAGGGCAGTTTGATTATGTGAGTTAGGCTTGCTTTCACTGCTCGACGTATCTTCGCTATGCCTGCAAGGTCATATTTAGAGATACGCCTCCAACATACCGTGACTCAGAATAATTTCTAGAACTAAAATCCGTGGCCTGTAGTCCGCAAGCGAACTATACCGACCGAGCGACCGCCGCTTCTCGGAGAAGTTAGTGCCAACTTTTGCGGATAGAGGGTGTCACGTGATCAACGCAACGGATCACCACGGCCGTTAACCTCGGTTTTCTAGACCGGAGCCTCTATTTCCTTGAAGCAGCTCCTCAATTATCCTCACGAAGCTAAATGGACCCCGTTCCAGACCAATTACTTCTCAGAAATCTGATAGACCCGGGACTTCTGGATCTCTAGCCAGGAACTCTGACAACTAGGCCATTGAAAATGTTGCATGAAATAAAATGCGCTAACATCAAACGTCATTCTATACTAGGCACTAATAGTTTTAAAGCTTATGAAGGGAACAACGAAGAAAAATAGCAGTGTGAAGTGGTGACATTACTGTCAACTGCAATTAGTCTTTCTGTCACATATCTTGAAGCCGAGCAGAGTCATCGGGTTCGAAGCCGTGGCACGAGTAGGCTTATCACTTTAAGATGTGTTACGTCATTTTAGTTCTTGTTAGCGGAGACTGCGCCATTTTCTTTCTCACGCTCCTCTTCTTCCCAGTTAAGTACCACAGTTCTCAACAGAGTGCATTTATGTACAGAAGGAAACGAACCAAATTTTAAACTGTTCCCTTGATCGAGAAAGAGGATGTTATTCTAGATGACAGAGAGGAGTGGGGCGATTACAGTTTCGTTAATAAATATTTTTGCCGCTCATTTTAACTGGAATACAAGCAACATTGCGCAACAACCATGGCAGGAAAGCAGAAAGGAAACATTTCTGTAAAATAAAACAAATTTAAAGATACAAAACAGGTGAAATAGCAGACAGTATAGCATAAAGACAAAGGAAAAGAAAACTGAAAGACAGTTCTGAAAATAAAAAAAAAGATATATTACAGGCAATAACGGCACACGCAAGAGGAGTGTCAGCCATATGCAGAACCTGCGACAAGAAACCAATGACATGAAACATACAATTGCAAGAAAGAAAAGAGAATGGGATAAAATTATGTTAGATTAAATATGTCATTTTTTATCATGCGTAGAACAAAGCAAAGGCATATTACATTCTCTACTTTTAGGCAGTATTCTAGTAGTCAGGGTATAAAGGCATGATTTTTCTATCCTCTATTATAATTTAAAAAGCTTCAAATTCTATCAAGCAGTTTATATTTTAGCAATGAATATCAAATTCACATTTAATCTCTTCCATGATAACCATTAGAGGACTAACTTTCCTGCCTTCTGGAATTTTTATTTTTTATTTTTTTCAGAAATCAATGAAAAAACGTAACCCGTGATCTCCCATTATTTTCATGCAACTATTATGGGATTTTCAACAACAGACATCGCACGTTAGTATGGCACTGTGGTAACAGACGGTTTCGTTAAATGAAAGCTAACATGGGAAAGATTACATATTCTGTTACTTTCTTTTCATAGAGTTTGAAAACATCGCTTGGAGGACTAGAAAGTTTTGAGCACAGAAAACTTAATTTATAAATGAAGCCATGGGCTTTATATTTCTTAACTCGTGTGAAGTCACAAGTGAGGTACTACACCTAAGTTCCACAGAAGGATATAGTGGTACTGGTGTAGACTTTTCCGAATTTCCAATGTCAATTCTCATTCCACAAACTGTTCCACACTCTTTAATTATAATGGGACGGACGTTACATAGTCTCGTCACTAAAAGTGTCCCAAATAATGAGCATGAACAGTTCCATAGACGGAAGTCAATGTTATTTCATTTTTCAACTTGTTAAAGCTGATTACTCTTTTACGTAAGCACTTATTATAATTAGGCCCACTTAGCTAATCTCTCGTTTGTGGAATTTTCTATCGAATAATTTTACTTGGTCTCCAGTTTTGGAGGGAAGCTGTGAATATATTGCATAAGCAGTAGCGGACAACCGACAAGGGGTAGCCCTTCAGCTTGGGGGTTGGGGGTGGGGCTAACAACTTCTCACCGTAAAAAATCAGTATGTTACGAAAATGAACACAAAGCCTCGCCATGAGTAGGTTAATTTAAATACCTATATGAAGTATGATTGGGTTAACAAACATTGAGAACAATTTACTGTATGAAAGTAAAGGTAAAAAAGTAAAGCTATCCCTGTAACAGGCCGTGGAGGCCCATAGGGTTGTGAGAAATCGAGGCTCCCACATTTTCTATAAAATCGGTTCATAGATGGCGGTAAGGTTGTCAGCCTTACGCGCCGGCCGCCATTCATCCCCAAGAATATTCCTGGTACTCATTTCTGTTAGAGGGTGAGTCAACTCCAGGGCCATAGTGCGGCTGGAAGGATCAGGTAAATTGAAAAAAACTACACCTCATCGGGACTCGAACCCGCGACATTCGGACTTGTGGCATAGTGTACCCTGTATGAAAGTATTATATTAAATAACTTATTTCGTATAATTTCAGAAGGTTATAGATTTACTGCCTAAAAGTAGTCCTGAGGAAGAGGAGCATATATATATATACATATATATATACATACATATATCTTTATTGCGTTTTAAAAAGAGGAGTGTTTATAAACTTTCTAAGAAATAACTTTGAGTTATGTTACCGAATTGGCTATCCATTTGAATAAGCGTAACTGAAAGACTGCCTTGTGAATAAAACGTGTCTGTCTACTGTCTGCACGTACATTTGTCGTCGGAATGTCCATACGTGCTGCTGCCATTTTAACAATTTCTGTCAGTAGCATCTTTAATTTCCTGAACAGTTTGTCGAATTTTGATCGATTCTCGTGTGGGGTATATACAGGTGTATGTGGACTATTTAGAATTTTAATTTCACTAAAATCTACACCATCCTTTTCTACTTATATTCTTAAAATTAATTAATAATAATGAAATACAGTAAACCCTAGCTAATCCGGTTAAAGTTAAACCGGATGTCGGATAATCCAGATCGAAATATGAAAAATGAAAAATTTGCTCACGATTGAGTACATACATACACATTTTCACCTTACAAAACGCGTTTTATTCTGACTCGGATCGTTCATCAAGTAGCATTGTCTGTAAGAATTAAAACGCACATTTTTCTCTGTTTTATAATAATATATTTCATGATATTTCAAACCATTTGTTGTGATCGTCATAGCTGAATATAGCAAAAGACTGATTAACATTATTGCAATAAAATACGCACAAGACACTTCATGGAATTCACTAAAACGTTACCGTAATTGGAAGCAAGACTGTTGAACCTGATACATGGACTGCTGTTAAAAGTACACCGCAGTGGCAAAATGTGCATTTCACTTCTATTGGCCAATTATAACTGAAGGCATGAAGGCTTATCTAATCATAGGGCACACACAGACACTTATATATGTGTTTCTAATAACATATCGTATAAGCAATAATTAAACAGATATTTTATTTGTAGTACATATTTTTGTTCGATGAGATGTTTATAGAAAGATTCACGCTAGAGAGTGATTTCGCGAAATGTAATTCGTAAGCACGATTGGTCAACCAATTTTTAATTAGTACTGACATGTCTTCAACAGGATAAAAATTTTGTATTAGTAATAAAAATAATGTTTAATCATGTAGCCTCACATGATGTCACTTTCTGCAATCTTTGCTTGCTATTGCGAACAACGTCTTACAGTGATTTCAATGCACACTTCTGTAAGGATCCCACTGCTGTGTTATGAAGTTGTAATGATGCAATGACTTACCTGTAGGGTCTTCCATGTGTCTGAGGAATAAGAAGCGCTACGAAGGCGACGACAGACAGTACAACAATCGCTCTTGTTCTCATCGCGTAAGCTGATGCAATAGGCTCGTGTTATCCACCACACTTGCGCCGGCGCTAGCTACCTGTAGCAGATCAAGCAGCGGTATGACTGTGGCTATCCGTTCGCATGTTATATATACACTGAAGGGCAGCCGCCCACATAGGGAAGCCCCAATAGCGTGACGTAGCAGCCGGTTCAGCCAATCCCTGTTCGCACAGTTATTATGAACTGTGCGAGATTTGCGGTTCACATGGCGCTGCCTTTCATGTGACTCCATGTAGTCTGGTAAATATTTACCAACGTTTCGGAGGAACCTGCTACATTAAATTTTTACTCCGAGGACTACCAGACTGGACTACGTAATTTTCCATAAGACAAAGGTCTTATTATGAACTGTTCGTTGTAGGTTATGTTCTGTCTGTTTACATTAATTTGGTCCTGTGGTAATGGCTTCCTTTAGGTGCATACGAGCATGTTAATATGTTTTTGTTAGATCTAGTTAAAATGGTAAAACTATCCATGTAACAGGTTGTGGAGGCCCGTGAGTTACTGAGACGTCGAGGCTCCCACATTTTCCAGATAACCGGCTCACAGATGACGGTGAGGTTGTCAGCCTTACGTGCCGGCCGCTCATTACACCCCAGGAAGATTCCTGGTACTCATTTCCGTTAGGGGCTGAGTCGACCACAGGACCATAGTGCGGCTGAAAGGCGTAGGTAAATTCAAAATTCCACCTCATCGGGACTCGAACCCGCGACCTTCCAGCTTGTAGCGTAGTGCCTCAACCAACTACACTACGGGGGGGGGGAGATTTATTCATTTCATTGGGAATCGAACCCGTGACCTTTGATAAGTAAAATCAGAATTCATGACCAGGTTATTGAATGGTTTAGTCATAATGATTTTGATGAGGCCCACTTCAGAAAATATTTAAGATTTAACTAAAATCGACGGATCTCTGTCGGGGGGCGTTCATCTGCTGCGTTCGCTGGAAGTTATGAAAGGTATTACATAAAGATAAGGCGCCACTTATGCAAGCTAGAACAGATTCAAGGTAAATGCAAACCGAAAGAGGCACCTATGTGTATGTACAGAGCAAAGCGTGAAGAGACAAAACTCTTAAACTAAATTAATATTATTAGGTTAATTTTATTTTATTGAGTGTATATACATATCATTTAATTTTCTTTCTTTCGTCTGTTCTTCCTTTCTTGTTCTTTCTTCCATGTATCACATAAATTCCCATTATGTTTTTTTTCTAGCACATTAAATATTTGTATTCATACATTACACACAAAATTGAATCTTCGAATCGGCAGCGGCGTACCTTCATATCATTGTCTCTGGCACAAAAGAAACCTGAAGAAGGAATAGGCCAAACGATTTAAAGGAATCATCCAAGGATTCGTCTAAATAAATCCATAAAGCTTGCAAAGGAAATTAGAATATTTGACTTTGTGTGGAGTGAATTTACGGCCTTTCGAGCATAATTATCAGTTAATCATTAATCACTGAGCATCATGGAACTGGATGCTGCTTCTAGCAATAGCAGCAACAACAGAAGGAACGTAGGACATTAAATATTCCTTAAGCGTACTTGGGTTAGGAATGGATATAAATATCTGTAGCCTAGAACAATAATCAGCAATAGAGAGAGATAAAATAAATAAGTAAGTAAAATTATACACTCTTATTAAACAAATTAAAAAAACAGTACGCATTAAATTTAAGAATGTAAAATTTCTCTAACGTGTTCAATATCTGCTTCCCAGTATTTTCTAACTTGTTCCACTTTTATTAAATTGAACAATTTTTTTACAAACTCTCGGTATGAATTATGTCATAACAACATCGTACACTTAATTTTCCACAATGATGAGTGACAGCATGGCGGACGCGCGGACTTCTCAGGGGAAAGCGACAATAGTTGTAACAAATGCATGATTATGGAATGAAGTAGGATAATAGAACTTAAACAGCTTACTTTTAGGAAATCGCTTTTTAGAATAGGCTTATAAAATAATATGGCGGCCGCTTTCGGTGTAACGACAATAGAGTTGAGTATTGAGTAAAGAGCGGGTGGGTTTCCCCATGCACTTAGACCAGTTATTGGTCCATTGTGCGTCCCTCGCTTAATTTCTACTGTCTCCATACCCTACCGGTACTGGTGCTCGCTATTAGCCCCTTTCTGCCAGCGAGGTTCCAACCTTCTACTGGCAGTGGTATTTAATAGTTAGTCCCTTTCTGTCAGAGGTCCCCCTTCCTCTGGCAGTGGTACCTGATACTTCCCTATCTACCGGAGGCATTGGAAATTTTTTGCCAAATTTAGCTCAGAGGTCTCCAGGAGACATGAGGTTCTTTTACGTACGTGCCGTAAATCTACGACACGGGACCCACGGCTTAAAGTCCCTCCCGGAGGACTTGTTCCCTGAATTTTTCCGCCCTTAAAAATTCCACGACTTCCGCCGGGTTTGAACCCGCGTACCTTGAGTCATGAGGTGGGAACGTTACCCCTAGACTACGGAGGCCGCTTAACGACAATAGAACTAAGCGTATGAAAACTGGTACAGAGATAGAGCATTGTATTGTAATATACTGTGCGTGCGTCAGGAACTGCAAATGTTGAGGTTAGGCTACATCCGACAAATATAAGCTACAGAGAAACTGCATTAAGGACAAGTTCTTCGCAAAAATAAAATAAAGAACAGTATTAGGAACGTAGGACTACATATGGATTTTATATAATAGGAAAATAAGTTTCTTTATTTGTGCTCCAAATTCTTTCTCTGTTAAAACGTCTGTGTGTAACACAGTCCGTCAATAAAGCAACATATTTTTCCTTTTTCTTCCACTTACAATTTAACACAACAAGTTTCGGCCTTAGATGGCCATCCTCAGGTGTCTCAATGTAAGTGGAAGAAAAAGGAACAATTGTTGCATTATTGACGGACTGTGTTATACATAGACGTTTTAATACGGCTTGCAACAGGATGCTTAAATACAGAATTCCTTCCCTGTTGTTAGGACTCTCAGTGTACATAGTGCTCGACGGCTCACAAGCACCATGATGAAAGCTGCTCAGGCAAATGGGGGACAAATTCAATGGATATCAAGGTCATGTGACTTAATTTCCATGGAATTCCCGTTACAGAACATAGTGTATTGTCGGCCTTTCGCCTCTTATTTCAAATGGCACAAACGCTGGAAATTTAGCGTACAGAAGCCACTCAGTAAACTGTACGGGGGCAAACTTCGAAGTATGTGAACAAAACTGGACAGAGGGGACAGGTTCCGCGTTACGAAAGGAGCACACATAGAGCACATGTTCACAATTTGAGTTTATCATCTCTCCTTCGTGCACGTTTGACACTCATGCCTTCAAGAAAACCAGAGTTGTAAACTCTTGATGTTGCTAAGCCAGTTTATAATTGCCATGCATATTATGATAAGGGATTGACGTCAAGTGTTTTGGTCCCGGATCTTTATTTAGCTTATAAAATGATACGAAGTTAAATTTAATTTTGAAGAACAATGTGGAAACACTGGCTTTGAGATTCCATTGAAAGAAGGTAAAGCTATCCCTGTAACAGGCCTTGGAGGCACATAGTGTTCTGAGACGTCGAGGATCCCACATTTTTCTAGACAATAGGTTCACAGATGGCGGTGAAGTTGTTAGCTTACCTGCCGTCCGCCTTTTACCCACCCAGGAATATTCCTGGTACTCATTTCTGTTAGAGGCTGAGTCGATCCCAGGGTCATTGTGCGGCTGAAAGGATTAGGTTAATTGAAAAATTCAATAACCTCATCGGAAATCAAACACGCGACTTTCCAGCCTCAACGAATTACGCTACAGCTTGCCCCAAAAACTGCATTGCTTCTGCAATTCAATAAATGAACAAATGAAGATGCGCTGTTTCCCTTCTTCATTGCGATTTCTGTATTTGAGTACGGATATAATTTTAACAAAAGATGCACCCCTTCAAAACGAATTAATAATTTATAAAGTATCGAAATCACTGTGGCAGATTCTCTGATTAATTAACGACAGTTTCATAGCAACTTTTACAAAGAGCCGAATCAGATAATTAGAAGGACATGGATTGTAAATAGGTAAGAATTTAAACGAGTAATCGTGGCCTATTTGTAGGCATTGTTTTCCTCGAGAAATTAAGGATCATTACTAAACAGCTTCAGTACTGACATGCGCAATTGGCATCTGCGCAACGAAACAAAGAGTGGTAACCATTAAGGCTACACGCCGCCGTTCTGCACATTTGGCTGAGTGCTGAGAAACAAACATGCTCCTGGAAGAGGTGAAGGAACATTTTGTATCTTGAAGTTAGTTCCTTAGTTTGCTCTATAAATGGTTAAGCATTGTCGAATCACAACTCACAACATTCGTTTTACTATTCATCGGGTAGTCAAATCTTAAAAATAGAAGTTAAATGGAAAAGCAATTTCACCACGTGCAGGATTTTGGTTCTTTTAAGAACGTTGGATGAGACAAGCACAAGCTGTTACGACTGCTGTTTTCTTAGCTACATACACGCGCTTGTGTTCTCGTGGGAAGTTATAAACGGTATCGGAAAGGTTTAATCTCTTCTGAGAACACTGAACCTCACAACTGGCAGAAAAAGGTTTGTAGTCGTCTGCAAACGGCGTGATTCATATTTCAGAAAAAGATCTTCTTGTTGCATAAGTGACTGTAACTTCGAATATCCCGAACACTAATATTGTGTGCAAACATTATCTCTCGTTCAGAAACGGCGCCTGTCATCTCTGTGCCTTGTGTCTGCAGAAGTTGATGACTTGTTTCAGTCATCCAGGAGACAAACTCTCTCTCTCTCTCTTCAGTTCTTCCTTACCTCTGATACTTCGTCCTAATTCTTTCTTTTTCTTTTATATTTTCAATATCCAGAATTATATTATCGGCAGAGGAAAGATGTTTCCTTCTTCTCCACTTCCAGACTGGCTTTCCGGTTCACCCAACATCCCTTCTGATGGCTACTGAGGGCGTTTTGCCACGGGGTAAAACTCGGGGCATGTGGCTCACCATGTGGCGCTCTCATAATGATGAGTTTA